CCAATACAAAGACCCCAAACCATATGCTTTTAATTTTTGGTTTAATTTGTAGGCTCTTTTGTTTGCTTTTTTTGATGTAAAAGAATTATGATTAACCTTTTTTTAAAAAAAAAAGTTACTTGCTGCTTTCCATAAAGCTCATATTATAATAAAATGCACTGATTACAATAACAATCGTATCAGCAAAAAGTGACACAAGATAGCATTAAAAAGTCCTTCCCTGTGACAAAATAAATTGGAATTGTGTGTGGTAAACCTTTTATAGCTTGTTATCATTTTGCTAAGAAAATAGAGCTACTGGCAACTTTTATATGGGGAAGCTGAACATAGGCTAAAAAGGTTTTCCAGATGATGCTAAAATACTCAGCTATATTGACGCAGGTCTTCTATTTCTTGTTATGTCATGATTTTTGGAAAATAAACCTGAGAGGGAAAAGGTAAACATTTTAGGACTAGAATGAACTAGTATAAACTATCAAGAACAGATAGGGCATATAAAGAGCAGGGTTAGAGAATTATTAGATTGTTGATAGATAAATGATTGATAGATAGATAGATAGATAGATAGATAGATAGAAGTTTCTTGTTAATTTTGAATCTTTTTTTTTACATTTATGGTAAGCCAGAAAATAAGCATAGTTAGTTGCAAGGAAGGTCACAAAATAATTTAGGTGGTTGATTTTTAAAAATATATTTGTAAATTTTTTATTATTCAAGTGCTTTTTCCCTTTAGAATGGCAGACAAAGATGATACCACTTCATTTATTTCTGTTCTCATTGTGCATTCTCAGTGCACGTGATCCAAACACATCAAGTCAGACACACACAGCATGACAGTCTCTCCTTCTCCCTCCTTTGTCCTGCCAAAGAAATGATGGTCAATAGTTGGATGTTCATTCTTTCAGTCTTCTCTGTGGGTTTCACGCATATGTGTACATATCTGTACGTATCTTGTTTACATAAATAAGATAATAATTTATATATTGTGCTTCAGCCTGTTCTTCACTCAATATGCCATGAGCTCTTTTTAAGCACATGTCAACTTTTTTCTCTTTTTTTTTTTTTTTACTGACTACATAGAATTTCATAGCATGGTTATATCATATTTCAGTTTTCTATTATACTGCATTTATTTCCATGGTTTCACTGTTATAAAAGTGCTACAATGAATATCCTTGTATATTACTTTTTAAAAAGTGAGAGTGTTTCTCTAGAATAGCTTCCCAGAAATGGAATTGCTGAGTCAAATAGTAAGCCTTTTTAAAGTGTTACAGGTTTTACTAAATTGCCTTCCAAAAAGCTTATTTATCTTTTCATTAAATGTATAAGCATGTCCATTTTCTTACATCCTTGAAAGTTCTTGATATTATAAACATTTTTGTTTTATCTTTCTAACTGTGAGTGAACATTTACATTTCATATCATTCTAATATTTATTTACTTATACGGGCAATTGTGTGTCTATTTATTTACTGATTATGTTTATTTCTGAATCACCTATTCTATTTTTTGTACATTTTTCTTTGGGGTTGTTTGTTTTTTCTTTAGTGAATTGTTGAAGCTTTTTACATATTTTGGATATACATATTTTGGATATATAGCAAATATTTTCTTCCAGTCTGTTGCTTTTTTTGAATTTTGTTTATTTCTGAAAACTTGTAGCATGTAACAATATTGCTAGCACTTAAAATTTCAAGAAAGCAGCTAGCTAACTGCTGGTTCAGTTTACACATTGATTTATTTAATTAGTTTTCATTTTACTTATTATTTGTTTAGTTCCATATTAATTATTATTTAAATAATTTTTAAACATAAGCTTGACTTTTATTTTATTCTGAGTTGATGAAAAGTACCTTTAATTTTTTTCTCTTTATTTTAAATGTTTCCCTCTCTGTTAGAATGTTATTTCACATTATCACTTTCACCTTTTAAATTATGCTTTTTTTTTTTTTTTTTTTTAGAGATAGGGTCTCACTCCCACCCAGGCTGGAGTACAGTGGTGCCATCACAGCTCACTTTAACCTCAAACCCCTGGGCTCAAGCAATCCTCCCACCTTAGCCTCCAGAGTAGCTAGACTACAAACACACACTACCATGCTGGCTAATTTTTGTATTTTTAGTAGAGACGAGGTCTCACTACATTGCCCATATATGTCTCAAACTCCTGGCCTCAAGTGATCCTCACACCTCAGCCTCCCAAAGTGCTCAAATTATAGGCATAAGCCACTGTGCTTGCCCAAAATTATGTCTAATTTTTATCTTCATGTATTCAGAGGAAATTATGTCTATTTTCGGCATGTGTAAAGGTACCCAAATATGAAAAGTTTACTTTAGCACCTGTGGCACACAGACCCTAAAGTGACCCCAATGAACCCTGGTTTTTGGTGTCCACACTCTTGTATAACACCCTCCCTTTGAGTGTGGGCAGGACCTATAACAACTTGTTTCTAACTATTAGGACATAACAGTGGTGATGAGCTGTCACTCCCATGATTACCTCACATTTTGTAAGGCTCCAACTTGCTAGCTCTCACTCTCATGCTACTCATGAAGAAATAAGGTGCCCTGTTGTGCATTGCCTGTGGAGAGGTCCTTGTGGCAGGGAGCAATGGGTGGCTTCTACAACCTGAAGATCTCAGTCCTGCAACCATGAGGGGATGAATTTTGCCAACAATCTAAAGGAGCTTGGAAGCAGATTTTTCCTCAGTCGGGTCTTCAGATAGGAATGCAGCCTAGCCAGTACCTTGACTATAGCCTTGTGAAACTCTTAACAGAGGATCCAGATAAGCTGTGCACAGACCCCTGAACCACAGATACTTTAAGGTAGTCAATGTGTGTTCTCTTAGCTGCTAAATCTGTAGTAGTTTGCTACACAGCAATAGATGACTAATATAGCACCCCCATTTGAAATATACATAGACATCATTAGGAACAAAAATAGTAAGAACTAGAGATTGAATTATTCGTTATTTGGCATTGTAAATAATCATATTAGAAAAATGTGCTATGGAGTAATACGTATAATAATATATGATAGAGAAAATGCTTATGTTTTTCTAGCTCTTAAAATGTAGTTTCAAGGTTTTGCTGTTATATTATTATTGTAATAGAGTAAATCATTAGAAACTGGGATAAGCTATTAGATCAAGCTTTAAAACTCGTGTAACTATATTGCATAAAACACCTAGCATAATTAATTATGAGTCTGATTATTGGTATTTTACTTGTGTAGATACTAAAACAAATACAGTGTCTACTCTAAAGCTTTCTTTTTACTTTCTTTCTTTCTTTTTTTTTTTTTTTTCTGTGAGACTAAGTCTCACTCTGTTGCCCAAGCTGGAGTACAGTAGCATAATCTCCGCTCACTGCAACCTCTGCCTCCCAGGTTCCAGTGATCCTCCTCTCTCAACCTCCTGAGTAGCTGGGACTACAGTCACCCACCACCATGCCCAGCTAATTCTTTTATTTTTAGTAGAGGGATTTCACCATGTTGGCCAGGCTGGTCTCAAACTCCTAACTTTGTAATCCGCCTGCCTCAGCCTCCCAAAATACTCTAGAGCTTTCAAACACACAGTTACTTATATGTTTCATAAATGATGATCTAAGTGACTTTAAAAAGTGAGAAAACAAAACCTTCTGTTCAGGAGAAATTTCTGAGTTTTCCATCACCATCACTTCTCTGCTTTCCCTCCACCTCATTCTTGCAGTGGTCGCTTCTGTGACTGTCTTTCCTTTCACATTGTCCTTTTTCTTTCTTCACTTTGCCTTTTGCTCATCATTTATATAATCCATACATTGAGGCACTGCTTTTTAAAAAGGGTATTGATTTTAAGGATTCAGCTTTAAAAAAAATGCAATATCAAACAATTATTTGGTCAGACTCAGTAGTTTTTCAGATTTAGCATGGTAAAAAGTTTGATTGCTAAACTGCTCAAGGATTAATGACTTTATTTCCTTCATGTTGTGCACACTCCCCTGAGACATGTGTTCTGGTTCCTAGCTATGTTCCTTTACAGTTGCTTGAGTATAATGCATGTTTATTTCAAGCTTAATAATCATGGCCTTTTCCCAGCCTTCATTCTTACCAGTTTTGATATGAGGCTTCTTTTCTATAGTAAGGTCTAACCAGTGACTTGACGTCTTGGTCCTCACCGTTTCCAGCTTTACCCATGTTTGCAGGTATCTGAATAAATTTCCAGCTCATTTTCCAAACTTCACACGGGACTTTTCACTTTTTACTTTGCTTCTTATTTCTGCATCTGTCTTATCCTCTATTATTAGAAAGCAGAATCCCATAATACTGAGGACTGTGCTTTGCAAATAATAAGCGCTAGATAGATGACTAAGCGAATGAAAAATTATAAGAATTTTTAAAGCATAGTTAATATGCTTGAATATGGATTTTGGATTTCAGAAATTGGTGGAATTATGAGGAAAAAATGGGGAGGGTGGCTTAGAATTGCCAATTTTAAATTTTGCTAAGTAAGTTTAGACAATCATTTACTATCATCATTGTTTCATAAAATGCAGTGCAAAACAAAAATAGGGTTTATAAATGAAGTTCAACATGCACAAACAAAATTCAGAGGACATAATGTCAGGATAAAAGATTGATCCTTTCTTGATAGATCAACTTTAAAATGACTAGTATATCTTGTTATCTTCTTTTCTCATTTTGCAGCAGACAGCTAAAAATTGTTGTATTGTGCTAGCACAGTCTGTATATTTTAAAAATCACTGAGCTAGTTTAACTCTCCACTCGATACAGTTATCCTCTTTAAACTACCATGGATTAGATCTGCTTGTTGCATATCCAACTCTTGGAAAGCTTCCTGTCTCTTGCATGTGACTAGTAGTGGGCGGGAAAGAGAACCAGGTGGACAGATTCATCATCACTACTTGATACAGAGCTGTTCCATCACCTCAGAGAAACCTGCTGAGGTACCTCTTTACATTGTACATTTTAAATAATTTATTTTATTTGAACAGAGTGATCATAGGTGATGGATGGGATTTTCTGAGAGTTGGAAGGCAGGATTTGAGCCACAGAGAGCCACTGTAACATATGAAGATTCTGGTGATGATGCTGGCTCTCTGGCTACCTAAGAGGAAGAAAGCTTTATCAATCCATCTCTCAAGGCTATAGTCCGTCTCCCATCACCTGTCCCCCTTTTAATACCCTTTCCCCAGCTTTTTTATCCAATAAATATTTACTGGGCACTATTATGGCCCTATAAACTTAGAGGCTAGGAAAGAAAAGATGGGAGATGATGTCCCTGCCATCCACGGTTTTCAATTGAGTAACAAGGCAGACATCTACATAATGAACCGCAAGCAGGGAAAGGGATGAAATGCCACAGAAGCATCGAGAAAGCAACTGATTCCGACAGGACAATTTTTTTTATTGCATTTTAGGTTTGGGGGTACATGTGAAGAACATGCAAGATTGTTGCTTAGGTACACACATGGCAGTGTGGTTTGCTGCCTTCCTCCCCATCACCTATATTTGGCATTTCTCCCCATGCTATCTCTCCCCAACTCCCCATCCCCTGCTGTCCTTCCCCTGTTTCCCCCCGACAGACCCCAGTGTGTGATGCTTCCCTCCCTGTGTCTATGTGTTCTCATTGTTCAATACCCACCTATGAGTGAGAACATGCGGTGTTTGATTTTCTGTTCTTGTGTCAGTTTGCTGAGAATGATGGCTTCCAGGTTCATCCATGTCCCTACAAAGGACAAGAACTCATTGTTTTTTTATGGCTGCACAGTATTCCATGGTGTATATGTGCCACATTTTCCTTGTCCAGTCTATCATCGATGGGCATTTGGGTTGGTTCCAAGTCTTTGCTATTGTAAACAGTGCTGCAGTGACCATTCATGTGCATGTGTGACAGGACAGTTTTTATACATGAAGTGACATCTGAGCTGGTCCTTGAAAGAAAAGGGAGAATCAGGAGAAAGGGTGTTTAAGCAGAGGAAGCCAAGCTAGTCCTTGAAAGAAAAGGGAAAATCAGGAGAAAGGGCGTTTAAGCAGCGGAAGCAAAGGCTGTAAACACCTGGAGTCAGGAGCGCCCCGACAAGCATGGCCAGTGGTCTCCTGCGTCAGAATAGAGGGTTACGGGAGGGAGTGTGGCTGGAGAGATAGGTGGGGGCTGGATCACAAAGAGCATCAAACGCCTTGCTAAGGAGTTGGGGCTAAGCAGTTGGAGACCATCAAAAGATTTTAAGTAGGGATGTGATATAATCACATTTTTCCTCCTAAAAATAAAGACCATTCTGGAGTTAGTGTGGAGAATGGATTAGAAGGGTAAAAGACTGGAAACTGGAAGATCACTTTAGAGGCTGACTTTCACAATAGCCTCTTCCCTCTAGGAAATAAACTCATCTACCTCCTGGTGAGGTTCAAATTAGGAATAAACGGGTGAGCTCTTTTTTTTTCTTATGAAAAACTAAAGATGAAAGTGGAGATGCCTCACTACAACTAGTGCTTTAATTGCATTTTCTTGTGGAAAGGACAGTTCTAAAACCTGCAAGTAACTTAAATTTGTTTTTTTTTTTGTAGGGTTTTTTTTTTTTTTTTTTTTTTTTTTTTTTGTCTGATAACTTTTGCTGGGACTTCTTGTAGTCAAGCATCTTCATGGGCACTTGGGGGAAAATACCCAAATGCTATGTGAGAATCTAATAAAATTATTATTTTTTGCAGTAAAAATAGCACTTCACTAAAGTGCTGGAAGAATGATTATTTTTAAGCAGCAGCAAAAAAAATGTATAAGGAATCCTTCAGTTTCAGCTGGAAAGCCTGACCGTTGTTGCTTTTCTACTGCTTGACAGCATTGAGTTTTCTTGCATTTATTTGCCTCTACCTCTCCGGCTGAGCCACAATAAAAAGCACCTACCTCAAATACCTAGCACTAATGGCTTAATTTGACAATTTGTAGATGGTATTCTTTTATTACCCTTTAGGACCTTAATAATTAGTTTTTCTTTAGTGCAGTATTAAAGCATTAGAGGTCATAAATTCCACAGTCACCTGTATCCATTTATTGCTAATTTATTATGGAACATATCATAAAACTTTCCTTGACATATAGGCCTCTTCATAACTATAAATCTTTTTTCAACTGTTTAGATAACTTATACTTAAGTTCAAGAAGAGACCTTTCAGAGCAAATATTTAAAACATCTATTTATTACACATTAATGGTGCAGAGTAGATAACCATGTGAAGTATTCATTTACATTCAGTGTATTTATCACTTCGAACTCTTATAAAGATAAATTTGTTTTCAAAAGGGGAAATGTTAAATGTCAAGTAGCTGTTTTCCTAAGTGCTTTAAAATGTCCAGCTGAATAAAGCCATCTTTCTAGTTAGGATAGGACACCAAAAAAGTTTCCAATAAGATTAAATTTGTCACTAGTAACCTTAGTTAAGTTTAAAAACTTTGCAAACTTGATAGTTGTCTCCTCAGATGGCAGATGTATCATAGTTGAAAGAGGTTGTTTCCTCTGTTTCAATTATGGAGAGAACACGTTGCAAAAAACTCACAATTCCTGAATACGTTTACCTTACTGCTTAAGCTTCTGTATGGATGCATTTTTGTGGCACACATATATCCAAAAAGGGAGAGGAGAAAACCAACTTTCTGGAAAACCCATTTGTTGAATATGTAATTTGCTGAAAATCAAATGGCTTCCATTAATGTTGTCTAATATGATCAGTAACCATGATGCATAAGATAGTTGTAACACTCTTAGGGACTTTTTTCTCTAAGCTTTCATTCAGCTTTAGTTTTCTGCAGCCCAATGGTTAGCCAAGCTAGATTATCACAGGGCTTATCATACTATGGCTTTGGAAAATCAAAAATTTAAAGTATAGGCCGGGCGCGGTGGCTCACGCCTGTAATCCCAGCACTTTGGGAGGCTGAGGCAGGTGGATCACGAGGTCAAGAGATCAAGACCATCCTGGTCAACATGGTGAAACCCCGTCTCTACTAAAAATACAAAAAATTAGCTGGGCATGGTGGCGCGTGCCTGTAATCCCAGCTACTCAGGAGGCTGAGGCAGGAGAATTGCCTGAACCCAGGAGGCGGAGGTTGCGGTGAGCCGAGATCGCGCCATTGCACTCCAGCCTGGGTAACAAGAGTGAAACTCCGTCTCAAAAAAAAAAAAAAAAAAAAAATTTAAAGTATATATTTTCTTTCTTTTTTTTTTTTTTTTTGAGATGGAGTCTCACTCTGTTGCACAGGCTGTAGTGCAGTGGTGCAATCTTGGCTCACTGCAATCTCTCCCTCCTGGGTTCAAGCAATTCTCTGCCTCAGCTTTCTGAGTAGCTGGGATTATAGGTGCCCACCACTACACGCCCGACTAATTTTTGTATTTTTAATAGAGACGGGATTTCACCATCTTAGCCAGGCTGGCCTTGAACACCTGACCTCATGATCCACCTGCCTTGGCCTCCCAAAGTGCTAGAATTACAGGTGTGAGCCACTGCACCCGGCCTAAAAGTGTATGTTTTCAACTACAAATGTAATTGTATTGAATGTCTTACGATTTATAAACAATGGGATGGGAGTTTTTTTCCTAACATATTTTTAGTCCAGCCTTCTGCGCTTTTCTTAATTTACCAATTAATCAACCCAATACAATATGAACATTTTGTACACATTTTATACATTTGAGAAGTGCTCAATGTCTCAAATATTAAATGCAAATGAACTTAACACTTAACTAAACTGACAAGTCCACTACAAATAGCTAGAGAGAAAAGAATACAGCAAAATGAAAGCTGAGCTAAAACCAACACTTTGATAAACTATTGAACAGTTCAGCCACACAATTTGCTGAAATCTTGCTTTTTAACAGGGTCTGTGTCCTCTTGATAGTATGGTGTACATGCAACAGTGAAGTGAAGATTCTGAGAAGGGATTACCATACATACTGTAAATAGAATTTCAGATTTGAAATACATTAACCATAAATAAAGAATTATGCAAGAAAAATGGTTGCAAATCCCTGAGGAATGCAATAAGATGAATAAAGACACAAACATAAAATCACTAGAAAGATACAGGAGCTACTATATTGCAAATTAAATTCTGGCCTTTAACTGATTAAAAACAGTATGTTGAACTTGCTATGCCACTTGGGAAATTGGCAAAATAATCTTAAAAAATGCTGAAGAGTCTGTTGAAGTAGAAAATGGCATCAAAATCATTTTGAAAAATTGGTACTGTATTAGTCTGCTTAGGATGCTGTAAGAGAATACCACAGACTGGGGGGATCAAACAACAGTTTATTTTCTGATAGTTCCTGGAGGCTGGAAATCCAAGTTCAAGGTGCCAGCAGGGTTAGTTCCCAGCGATGCCTCCCATGCAGGCTTGTGGATGGTCTGCCTTCTCTCTCTGTCCTTACATGGTTTTTCCTCTCTGTGTGACCATTTCTGGTACATCTTCATCTTCTTGTGAGGACAACAGTTCTCGTAGATTAGAGCCCCATCCTTTTGAGCTCATTTAACCTTAATTACCTTCTTAAAGGCCCTATCTTCAAATATAGTCACCTTGGGGATTAGAGTTTCAACATATGAATTTGGAAGGGTCCACAGTTCAGTTTATAACAGTATGAACTACAAAATTCCTATGTAAAAGAGTCATAAATCCTGCAGTTACCTTTATCTATGTATTGATTTCTTATGAATTGCTGAAAATTTTGATCCCTTTTTTGTATATTAAATATATTCATAAGACTGAATAGTTTTATGATCACTAGCTTTTGACAAATTTAACTCTCCTACTAAGCTATAAAAAACATCTCTGATAAATCACCATCCCTGTGATTAAACTTTATGCTAGGCAAAATCATCAAACTTCAAGTAATTTTAGAAAATTTTATAAATTTGGCAAATTGGTGATTCAGAGACCTTTTATTATTTATAAATTACTCACCCATAGAAAAGCATGCTAGGAATAGTCATAGTCTCACCAGTATCACAATTGGCAGTAGAATGGTCTTGTATATGATGATGACAAGCTAGAAGAGGTCTCCAGAATTCTTTGGATACTATTTTAAATATCCCTAGGCTGGATGGTCCTAAGACTATGAAAGAATGCAAGATTTCATCAGGTCAGATAGAAAATACATTTGCAAATCTAAGGCCTTCATTAGAGCCAAAGGTCTTTAGAATTTGACACATTCTAAAAGTCAAAACAACGCAAAATGCAAGCAAG